TGTTTCAGAGAATAGGATAGAGAAATGGGAAGCAAAGGAGAAAAGTTCACAGAAAAGATATGAGGAGCTGTGAGGCTGAGGAATTTTAAAAAGATGTGAAAGGAAATCAGAATGCTGAAAACACTGACCAACTGACAGAAGATGATATGCAGTTCAAGAATGTTGCATGGCTGAAAGTGGGTAACTATAAAGCCAAACCTAAGCTTTAGCAGTGAAGGAAAGGCTAGCTTCTGTAAGAAATAAACTACTTTTTTTTTTTTTTTTTAAACTTCACAGAGAGAAAAGATGTTCATTTTTTATTTTGGTTATTCTTCATTCCTGAATAATGATCTGTAGCACCATCAGTTGAAGAAAGAAATTCTGCTCCAAAACCAAGTGTAAAATAGGGAATTTTGTGAGCATTGAGGAATCCTCTAGCAATTACTTTTAATGTTTTAAGCAGAGTTAGTTTAAAAGAGCTCTGTAGACCATACAGACTATTTGAAGAATAGTCTATGTTCCCTTTGACAATTAGGTAGTGAAACACTCCTTCTGGGCATTCTAAAATAAATATTTTCTTTTTTTATTATTCATAACTGTGTTGATAATCATTTAAATCAGCATTTCAAGTATACGATGACTTTATTTGAAATATAAACTTCATTATATACATAGCTTCATTTGAAATATAAAAATTAAATATGAAATCCCTCATTTGATTTTTTTGATGCAGTAGAAGCTGGTGGAGCATGACAACTACCTGGGTACAAACATTAATAAACATTAGAAGCTCTTTTCAATCATGAATCTTTTCCCCCACGCAAATAAAGACATAAATAGCTAGTTATAATGGCAGAGAACTGTCCTGCTTGTTCAGTCTGTAGTCTTCAAATGGGAGATATAATTCAGTCTCATATGCCCATTTATCACGTTTATATCCCTTCTGCAGCATAAACATGTCCTTCTACCCAAATTAACTGTACTCATCTGGAGTTCACTGAAGTGTAAGAAATCTGTAACACTTTTTCAAAATTTCATGTGTGCTTTAGGCTGATAGAAAGCAGTCTCAGAAAAGCTGAAATTGGTAAGAAAAGAAGTATTACATGGTCAAAAAGGCTTAGTCTCATAATCAAAGAAGAAAACATCTTTTACTAAAGACCTGTCCATAAAATGGACAATGTATAAATGAAAGAACTATAAATGGCACCATTAAGGACAAAATAATCAATTTATTGGAAGCAAAGGAAGTGACTGCAATTGTATGACTTTACTCTTAAGTCAAAATTGTAGAATTGTTAATAATCTGAAAATCCCAGGGGCAAGCACAGCATAGCTGACTGGGGAGGTGATTGTCCCGCTCTATTCTGTGCTGGTGCAGCCTCACCTCGAGTCCTGTGTGCAGTTTTGGGCGCCACAATATAAGAAGGATATAAAGCTATTGGAGAATGTCCAAAGGAGGGCAACAAAGATGGTGAAGGGCTTTGAGTGGAAGCCATGTGAGGAACGGCTGAGGTCACTTGACTTGTGCAGCCTGGAGAAGATGAGACTGAGGGGAGACCTCACTGTGGTCTACAGATTCCTCCCAAGGGTAAGCAAAGAGACAGGCACTGATCTCTTCTCTCTGATGAACAGTGACATGGAAGGGCATGAAGCTGTGTCAAGGAAGGTTTTGGTTAGTTATTAGGAAAAGATTCTTCGCCCAGGGGGTGGTTGGGCACTAACAAAGGCACCAGATAAGTGTAAAGAGGTATTTGATTTCTGAAGCCTTGGAGTACTAGTACTACTCCTAGTCTGTGTAGTCATGGAACAAGAAAAAGTCAAAACACTTTTAAGAGCTGGAGGAAGTGCCCTAAGTTGAAAAACTCAGCTTAAATCTCTTTATCATATAATTTGAGATTACTTGATTACAGAATCTGAGTACCTTGCCAAGGAGAAGCCTAAAGGATATTTGCCTGGGATTTGGAATCTCTCTCTTAAGAGAACACTTAATCTCTCTCCAGGTCACAAGTAGTGTTTTAACAACAGTTTACAAAAATTCACTATTTGATCTTCATCCCTGACAAGTTTCTGAAAAAATGAATGAAAATGATGAAAAATTATGAAAAATAGGAAAGCAGAGACAGCTGCTTGCAGTAAACATTTAGTGTCAAATTGGCTGTCCAACCCTTCATCCTTATGCTGCACTGCAAGGATTACTTCAGGATCTATGCAATCATTAGCTAATCCATACAGCAAAAGCTTGTCATCATTAGCTTCTCTGAGAATTCTACATTTATACAAAACAGAAACAAGAAAAAAATTTGTTTTCTTCTGTCAAAGAATTTGCAATGAGACGCCTGTTTTCCCTTCGAAGATGTGCTGTCTTTAATCCAGCTCTGACATGCCATGAAAAGAAATAGAATACAGTGGTTACAAGATGAAACCACTATGAGAATGATTGCTGATTAGAGCATATTATTAAAGGAATGATGACATCTTGACCTCCTCAAACTTTCAAGACCTTGGAAGCCCTAATAGAATATATCCATTAGCTGAATTGAAAATACAGGTTTATTAACAGGGTGACTAACTGTAAAGTAGAGGCTGGTGTCCAAGCAGTGGCCATACTAGGGGTTCCCATGCTAAACCTTAAACTGCATTTCTTTGAAATATACAGATATAAGCTGTAAAAGCTTTAAAACGCGCAAATTTAAGATGCTGTGAATAATAACAATATAAATAAATATCTAAACTATCATTTTCCTTGACTTAGAACTGTTGTGTTTGTAAATGAGTGGTTTTGATGACAGCCTTGGCAATTGCACCCTCTGGTGTGCACACAGCACGGCCTGTAAATACCTAAAGTAGAGCTTGAAACGGAGAGGTATATAACCATTTGAATGACAGGTTTCCAAGAACAGATTTGTTTTCAAGGAAAACTACCAGTATATCTACAACAGTAACACCTTTAGTTTATAATTTATCTAGAATCTGCTCAAATATTTTCTTCTTTAGTGTCATAGGAAAATATCAGTAATTTGCATTATACTTCTTTGCAGTAAGAGTGAAAAAGTCATAGCTGTTATTCAAAAGGCCAAATTATTATTCTGAGTGTACATTAAATACTGCAGTGCTCCAAAACTGAAGTGCATATTTCTCAGTTGCATGGTAAATAGCTACATTCTCTCACCTTTACCTTTTTGGCTAAAATACTATGGGTGTAGGTGAATGAATCTAGTTGAAGTTCATTGTGCTCCAAAACTATGTACTCATATCTGTCTAGTGTTTTTAGAAAAGCTATTGTAAGTCTACAATACAAAACCTTAGCAAATATATAGTGGAATTATGAAGGTTAAAATATGCTGCTGCTTTTTTTTTTCCTTCCCTTAAAGTAATAAAACTGTTAGAATGAAGGCAATACATCAGAAAAGGTGAGAAATATTCAAGCCTCCTGTATAAACCAAGTCATAATAGCCTTCCGACCCCTAGCCCTTTTTTCTTACAACTTAAAAGTTCCCCAGTTTAAGCAAGCCAAACGCTACCGCTGTGGGCAGATGGTAGAGAGAACATTGCTACAAAACCTGCCACTCAAAGTGTAACAGATGACTGTAGCTACAGAAAATTGTCCCTTTGTTCATTTTGCTAATGAGTGTCCTCATTGCAGCAGGAGACTGAATAGTTAATGACCTGCAGTTCCCGGCCGCGGCAGCCGGTGGCGCTCGAGCTAAAGGCTGTCCGGGCAGCGGGCGAGGGGCAAGTTGGGGGAGAAAGTGCCTTTTGTGCTTTTTACATCCTTTCCTCAGAGCCGTAAAAGATTATTATTACATCGAGATAAGGTTTGAAAGTTGCTCACAGAATTAGTTAAAATATTTTTTTTTTCCTTATTTTATGCAAAGGTTCTTCTTTGAGCATCAGCTATCGATGCTCAAATACAGCCAGGGCAAAGGAACAAATACTTAAGCCTATTAAGAGCTGTAGCAGTTACTTAAAAGGTCTTTTGAAATTCTAAGGTTGCTTTGCGGTGGTCTAGAGCTGACCACTGCCAGAGTAGAGTGTCAGCTAATTACTTAAATATTGCATGTACTGTTTTCTTAACACTACTGGTTTCCCTGCAGTGTGTTCAGCTGTCTACAGGTTATGGGGAAAGTTTTCAGTAAAAGCATGCACTCTCACAATTACCTCAGAGGAATAATTTTAAATCTGTTCATGCATAAACACTTTTTAAAGTGAAATATTGCTGAAGTGTTTCACTAGAATCTATTTTTTAAAAAAATACATTATTAAAAATAACATTCTTGTTACTCCCACTTGGTCTTTATGTAAGCTGCTACTGTTTCTTCAGTACAGGAAGGAAAACCATAAACTAATATGAATTACTTTGTAAAGCACTTGGCATTTTATTTACACAGTTTCTCATAAAATCAGTGAAAGCTTTGTGGCCAAAAAACTTTATGTACCTTGGTAATTTCTTCTGGTAAATTAGAGTCAAAAAATGTCTTTTTCAAAGAAAATCAAATAGTTATAGACTGAATTTTACCCATGCTTACACTATAGTTTTAGTTTACAATGCATTTCAAAACCTTGGAAGTTAATTTTTTTAGGTCTTTAACATTTTTTTAAGAGTTCATATTTTTACCAAGCAAAACAAATAATATCCTGAATTTTCCTTAGCAAGCAAAGCAATTGTTGTTTGAGTCTTCTCTTTTGTGTTAATATTTTAAATGGTTTCAGGAGTTAGTTAATATTCTGGTATTACTATAAAGATCTGTGCCAGCTCTGAAAGCTTTTCTGTAATTTTAAAAGAAATATGTGGCAGTAAAATCTAGACAGCCATAAGACAATATATTCAAATGTTTTCAATAGCTTTGAAACCAACAAGAAAAAAAGAGTAGCTGTCCCAATAAGCTTCAGTTGCATAAGAAGTCTTTTCCATAATGGACGTGGCAAGATTTAAACAAAGGACACGCATAATAAAAATGTAAATGAGTTTGCTTTACTAAAACTATAACTTTAAAGTCTTTTGTTGCATGTTATCCTGGAACCTTCTTACAAGGTAATCACTGTTTGCATAGAGATTTAAACCGTAGTCTTCAATAGCATTAAACCCCTGCACGGTCTATGTGTGACAGGCATGCAAAGCCATGTTAATGTTCAGAATATGAATTGCCTCTGGGTGGCTCCGACACCAAGTAGAAAACCAACTGTGTTGATATCAGAAGGCCTGATGGACTCCATGCGGCTCCCAGCCTGAAAACTTCACCGCTTTGACATGTGATGTGCTCCTCATGACACTGGCAGCACTGTCACTGAGGAATGACACAAAGGCAACAAGCCCCCCTCCTTAGCCATGCACTTTGCAACCCCCTGGTGTTGCCTGTCCACAGTCCCTCCTGCCTGCCTAGTTACGGACAGCACTTCATAAACACGGGGGGAAGTGTGGGTGGATAGGCCCCAGCTGCCTTCCTGGACACAGCCTCCATAATAAATTGACCTGAATGATGAGGGCACACAAACAGTATGATATGCATTATTCTTGTCAATAAAATGTCCCCATGTGTTATGGGCTTTGTATATAATGTACTGCAGCCTTTCTTCTAGAGGGGATCTATTTAGAGTCTCGACTTTTTTCTATTCATATTATGACTCTGTAATAGAATTCAGAAATTATATGATACTGTGTTGCATAATATTAAACCAGTGCAGCATATTTAAATCCCTGATACCTTACTTATAAATTCAAGGCATCACAATCTTTCAGGTTGCCTTTGAATCTGATGACCATGAAAAAAAACTGCTTGAAAAAAAGAATAAGGTTTTTAAACTGTACAATGAGATTTCTCATCTTGAAAATGCTCTAAAACACTCTGACAAAGAAAAATATTTGTTAGGTGAAACTTTAAACTGATGTTAGATCAAGATGATTAGTTTAAATGCAGTGTGTAAGAGATGTCCCTAAAGTTGGAATTTTTAGTGCGCTTCAGAAGGATGGTGACTTGTTTCTGGAACGTTGTCTTTTTCTGGTATCACATGGTAATTTTGTGTGCATTTGTAGATAAATCCATACATACTTATTCTAATTTTAATGAATATATTTACATATTTTATATTTATGACAAAGAAATATTTGCTGTGGCTTTCGAGACTTCTAATATTGCCTATATGCCAATATGACGTGACTTTTGTGACTATTTTGTGACAGATATATGCTGTAAAGTTACTGAAATGCAAAAGTGTTGTATGTAGATAGTTATGTTCTTAAATTATGATATACTAATTTTTTTAAAGGGAACTATATTAAAAGCTTCTCTCTGTAGTGTGGTTTTTGAGCTTCTGCAAAATGTGCATTTCTTCATATAATCAGTTTTGTATTTCTGGGAAAGTTTCTAACAGAATCAGTTTCTCGCAACCCATCACTACTTTTGATACCTGTGCTTTATTACGGTTCATAAACGAAGGGATTTTTCCTGATCAGTGCAATGTATGGTCTTTACCTGCGGGGTACTTCTCATATATTGCCAGACTGAAATATTTAATCAAGGACTAGAAACTATGGCAACAGAGTAGAATTTGGCTGTTTAGCTTTGTTATGTCCATATTAGACCCAGTATCACCTTTAATAGTGGTGACATTAATTTGATATAGACAGTATTCCTCATTCTTGTTTATCTTCTGACTCAGTGGTGCTTCTTATCTTTTGGTTTTGTATAAGCCATAAAGAACCACCTGCTAAAACACTTTGTACTGGCTGTGACTAACAGCAAGGATGTCCAGAACCAGTATTAATGAAAAGCTGTGGGCACTCAGTCACACTTGGCTCTTGAACTTACTTCTTCATATCTGTCTGTCCAGCCAGATGAACAGCAGGAAGAGGGCTGTGAATGTCAAGGGCAGTGGTGAAGGTCACAGTTCCTTCAGGACTCTCATCCCCGGTGCATTCCGCTGGGTTTGGGGACTGACCTGAAGCAAACATTTTGAATACATTCATGTAGGCAAGTGATTTCATGGAGTTTCTCTTTCCCCTCTTGTTTTCAGATAAACAAGTTCAAAGAATGTAATAAAAAATGGAAACAGATGAGCAAATGGTTCAAAAGGTTCAAAGTAATTTTTACTTCTGTAAGCTACAGTCTCAGCAGAACAGTAATGAGCTTGGAGTTTTAGCAGTATATAGTCCAAATAATGCTAGAAAGCTGACAGTACGTTGACTTATGTCACATTTTGGGTTATGGTAGTATAATCCATTGTAGAGTAATAAAGAACTGCTATTCCTTGAATGAATATTCATTTCCTTACCCTGTCATATTTCGTAATTTTGTTAAAACACTATAAAAATTCTGAACCTTACTAAACTGCAGTAAAATGATTGAACACTTTAATTTTAAAAGTAACACATTCAGTAAGCTTTTGAAGGCAGGGAAAGAAGATTTGTATGGGTGAATATCTAGAAATTTAAAAAAAAAGATTTTTTTTTTTTTTGTAACCTGTGACTTGCTAAATATTCCAGTATTCCTGAGTAGAGCTGTTAATATACGTGAATTATTACTTATATGCTGTCTAAGCAAAACAGTATCTGAACAGGATATAAAAGTCAGCTTTTTAAGAAAACTTTACAATTTCAATGTTTATTAATTAACAATTAATCTCAATAGAAGGTTGACAATGCTCAGTGTTTTCCTGGTATAATATCTAGATGTCTTTCCAGTGGACTTCCTATCTTGTGACAGTTCTCAAAGCACTTTCTTCTACAGGGTATAGTTCTCACTCTGAAAATTAAGAAGTAGACACAGGACCTCTTCCTATAACAAACATTCCCTCTGTGAAACACTTCCAAAATGTTTTGTAGATAACTCACTTCTCTGTGATGAAATATAAGGGAAATAGTGGTATTTCTGTATTTTAAGTCCATTATTACTAAATTTTCATGCAAATTCATTTTTTAATATATATATATACATATATATACATATATACATATATACTATATATAGTTGTGGGGACTGAGGCACTGTATTTCTAAAATCATCCCTTTTGTTGCCTATCCTTGGATCTAACCTTGGATGAATCTCTCTTCTATGACCAAGTTTCTCGCTCTTGAAATAGTGATGCCTGTTTATCTTTATAGGAGCATTGAAAGGGTAAGTTCTTTAGGATTTTGTACACAAAATTCAAAATCAAAATGGGAATATTAATTAGTCTGTCTAATGCACTAGTCTGTCAAAGGAGGGATGTGTCCTATGTTAGCTTTTTTTCTTTCTAGGGGCAGCAGTGCTCAGGAGTCCTGCTTAGGTTTGAAGTCTCATACTCAAAAGAAAAGGCCACTCATCTGTTCTTACACTGAAAGTTCCTTCTTAGTTCATTTACACAGTTCAAAGACTATTTTTAAAGTACATTTTTTTACCCTTTCACTCACAGGAAATTTTTCCTGAAATTTACTCTCCAGTTTCCTTCCCTTCCCTTCATCTCCATACAGTGGAGAACATTGTTTAACGTCCAGTATTTTCCCACAGGAACAACCTCAGTCTGTGGATTTAAGCAGCAACATAGGTGCTCTTTTCTGTATGCCACTCAGATGATTTGGAAGAGCCATATCTGTGTACGTTTGGATCACAGACCTTCCTCCCAAACTGCCTCCAGAACAGCTGTACCCATACAGGCTGCCCTTCAGAGTCACTGTGCAGCCTGTCAGGTGACAAGGTTTAAGATGTAGGACTGACGTGATGTGAGAAATCTTTGGGGCAGTCCTCATTATAGTTCTGATAATGAATCTAATTATATTTCAATTCCCAAAAGAAAAACTACAATTCTAAAAGAGTAACTACATGGACTGAAATTTCTGATTTTTTCCCACCTCCTTTGCATATCCCATTGAAAGTTGTTCTCTTGATAGCCCAAATGTGCATAAATTCTTCTTTGGTTTAAAAAGCTTTGATCTTTAAAAACAGGAGGTGAGCATGAAGGCACATGCTGCTGTAATGCCCTGCAGCTGGACATTTCACTCCAGAAATGGAATTCACAGGGTTAATACAGGCACCAGTATCCAATATACACTGTATGAGGAAAAGATAAAACCTAAAAATGGTATTCAAAGCAGACACAGCCCGTCATAAGAGATGATTAAACCTGTTTGAAGCACCTGGACTAGCTAGAAATGACTGACTGATTTGTTGCAGGTGGGACTTTGCATTTGAATCTTCTTCCTGTGCCCAGGCAGCCAAGCTGTGCGCTAGCTGTGAGCAATTGTCTCTCTCATTTCTCCCCAGGCATCATAAGAGATGGCAAGGACTGAGCTTTTTGTAAGCACTACAGCACTTGCCCAGGGCTCTGATAGTTGAACTTGAGGACCTTTGAACCTGTAGCTCCATATACCTTTGAAATAACTCTAGTTTACACATATTCCTCTTTAAAACTGGATACAGGGAGAGCAGGCACAGAAGAGCCATAGTCTCCAGGCTACATTTTAGAATACTCAGCACAGAGGAAAGGACTTTTCTATAGATCTGGTTTAAATTTCTTTGTGTTTTTGCTGAGTATTTGTGCTTGGATTGGATTGCGGAGGGGGGAGAGAGGGTGTGTTTTGTATATTGTTTTCTTGTAATTCATAGTCTAATGTAAAATGCATAAATGATCTAGCAAGCCAAAACACAAGGTTGTCCCTTTCTCATGCAGTCACAGCTTTGGTATGTCGTCAAGCTCATGCATGAGTATTCTGTATCTAGTCTCATGAATTTCATATTCTTTGTGTCCAATGGCACAGCTTGAACAGAACTGGTGGCTTATTCTCATCATAGAGGGGTAGTTAGGCTACTTTTCCATGACTTGGGATATTGTAATCAAGCCCCATAAAACTCGCAGCAGCATACAATGTCGGCTGCCCTGATTTGTGGCTGAGCATTCTATCTTCTAGGTTATTATGCTGAAGGGGAGCATTTCTCCATTTTTATGAAAGAAAATGAATGTCAGTGTTGTACTCAACATTGTCTGGTTTTAAATATGTTCAAAATGCAAATTCAGTAAGTAACAAACTCTGCTCCTGGTGACTTGGAGAAATATAGACGTTTAACTTGCAAGCCCCAAGTGACAGCAGCTCTGACAGACAGCTCAAACCCAGCAGAACCAAGGAAGCTGGTTGCATGCAGTGTAACTGTTTAAAGGAGTTTGATTCTGAAACTTCTGAAGAATTCATGAAGGATTTTGTTTAAACCGCTCTTTAGGCGCAGTCCTTTGTCCTGGCTGAGACTAGATGTGTAATCTGCCTGACAATGTTTGTCTCACAAGGACATGTTAGAACTTGCTGCAGATGATACAGAC